CCTTGGTTAGAGGTAGCTTGGCTTTCTGTGCTTCCTAGCCCAGCAACCAGGCTTTTTCCCCCTTTGCACATCTACATCCCTACCTTCTTCCCGAGCAGACTGCCTCTAAGCAGCTGGGAAGGGAGCCGATTGCCCCTAATCAGCTTAGTGCTGGGAAGCTCAGAACACTACGTACAGATGGCATCACCCCCCCAACATGCAGCATGCCGCTGCAATTTTCCACAAGGCATCTCTCCTTCTTAATTTTGTTTGGGTAGACTGAACACCCTCTCAACCAGGAAGCAGCAGAATGCCACACTGACTTCTTGACAGAAGTTGAAGAAACCAGGGACAAACATAGCAAACACATATGCATTTTGAAAGTAGTAAAAAATTATACTCCTCCAATACCATTTTTACACTTGCAACTTTGTCTTTTCCATTGTTGAAACAGCATATGTTAAATAGGAGAATACAGAACTGGATTATATGCAAATGTTAATACAGTTTTGGGTTTCTTTTTTTCAATCACAAAGGGTTTGGCAGTCATATTCTTATATGGGATAATGTTTTATAGCACAAATAATTTCTGGAAATTCCAGTTAAACCACCAGACACAATAAAAATAATGCAGAAAAACTAATTTAGCTTCGGCCCACATTTTGCTGACTGTCCACTTTAAAATTTCAGCATGTAAGGGAATCACCTGGGACAGGATTGATCTCATATGAGCTTAGTCGTGTCCAGCACAGACGTCATCCCCCTGAGTCAGTCACCCTAAGGTCCTTGTACAGTCAGTGTAGACAAACGGGTACTTTTCTGTCAAGGACCGTCTGGTCTGCTTTAAACATCTACCTTGGGATGAGAAGAATTGCTTCACTGACTCTGCTCACTAGATCTCTGTCTGTGTTCACTCTGATAAATTCCTCCCTTCATCCCATGCTGGGGAACCCAATTAAATGCCATCCAATTTCTGGGTCTCTGCTCACCCCTATTTCCCACTGAATTCAGTGCAAAATAGCAGTTACTCAGCACCTGGCAGAAATGAGCAGGCGGGTTTGGGCCTGGGGAGATACACAGCTTCATTTCTGAAATGAGGCAAACCCTGGGAAGAGCAGGTGCACATGCTTGATGAAACAGCACGACTTCAGCCAGAGTAGGCACCAGGGAATAGGCAGCGCAGGCTTCGGTAGGAGGCAGTGGCCTGCACAGGGAGGCAAAAAGCCTTGCTGACTCTGTTACCCCAGTTCACTTAGGGCGAACCATTAAATATTTGGCAACTGTGTGTTTGGCACCACACAGGACTGTGAACTGGAGTCGCAGAGGCATGAACAAATACCCCCGTCTGCTCCCTTTGTGGTAGGGCTGACATTTTTCCTTACCTCAGGCTGCAAAAACTACAACCTTGATCTGCAACTCTATACAGTCAGGGAAGAAAAAGAAGTTACAATAATCCAAGCAAATACAGCCTAACTGATAACCCCCAGGGATATAACTTGTTTGCTAACAAGCTATAAAAGGATCTTCATGTTGTCCACAAATGTCTAACATCTGTGATATCTAATTACCTGCACTCATCTTTTAAATGAAGAAGGTGTGCAGTAATCCTTCCTGAAGCTGAACTGCAAAATTAATATTTATTAGCTGAGGGCCTATTTTAGAAACAGATGGGGTGTAAAGAGCTTGAAGGGAGTGTACAGGAGGAGTGTCAAGCAGGAGAGATTAATTGTTAAGTAACTGAGATGAAGGAGAAGAGTGTTGAATGCTGAGAACACAGAACAACAGATACCCAAAGTTCCGGGATTTCACTGGGACAGGTCTAATTTTAATGGTGTATTTCCAAAGCTGACGTGAAACCACGACGCTGAAGAGTGACAAGGAGCAATGTTGAGCTGCCTGGCCAGCTCTCCTCTGAGCTGTGCTCACCCCACCCCTCTTTACCCTGTCCCCTGGTTTTCTGACTTCCCGCTTTGCCTCTGTTGCTTGCACAGAGACCTCATGGTATAAGCACCAGCAGGGTGACCTGCTAGAGCAGCAACATTAACCCAGTGCTTGCACCTGTCATTGCTAGGTCTCAGCTCCAGCAGAATTAGAAAATGTCTGTTCCTATACTTGAGGAAAAACACAGCGAGATCTGTTACTCCATAAAAATGGTAACTGTATCAAACACTATACCTTAAACTTTCTACAGAGATAATTAACAACTTGGCTATGACAGCTGTTAGTCCTTTTCTGCTCTGCCTTTGTCAGACTGCCATGAATATTTAAAGAGCTAATCTTTTGTTATGCTTAAACATTGCCCAGTGTTAATAATCAGGCAGTGTTTATCACTGAAAGCTTGTTTTCTGCCAGCCTTGAAATCCTCACCTTGTTTTGTACTGAGAGCTACAGAGCAGGGAATAGGCAAATAAAGAAAAATACGGTACTGATGTTAATGAATAAGCTCTGCAATGAATAAGTATAGGTGAGAGACAGTCATCTCTCATGTAGTTCCATCAGATCAGCAGGCAGGGTGCAAGTCCCATGCCAACTCACAACCTGAGCAAAACCTGAAACGGATACCAGAAGAGGTATTTAGAGAATTGGTGCAGATCCGAGGGACAGATGAAAAGAAGGAATGTTTCAGAGCGGGCAGCACCCGTGAGCCAGAGGCGACTGTGCCCCACGGGGCTGCAGAGGGAGGGAACCCTGCTGTCGGGCCCATCAGCCACCAAAGCTGAGCAAAGCTGGGCTCATGTGGGCTGGGAGCAGGAGAGGGTTTCTCAAGGGGTGCAGCCAAAGCCAGTGTTCATACAAACATAGCCATCTGACGTTAGTGGCTGTGTCTATAACCTGCAATCATTTCTTCTGCAAAATTCCTACCACTTTCATGCCATGGATGTTGCTTTGCTATTCATTCCCATTGTGAAAACATGAGGTGAGCCTTCTTCCTTCCAGCCAGTGTCCCATCCAGCAGTGGAGAGGAGAAAACATGGCAGTTCTTGTGGGTGGTCTGCACAGCTGAAGACCGTTCTGTCTCACATCTGAAAGCTTTGTAGGGTGGGACTTGTATTGCACCTGGGGGATGTGGCCAGCCTTCAGGCCAAGGGTTAGGAACCCTTCAGCAAGGGTTGAGATGAGTAAACCAGTATTCTCTATGTAGAAATATAGATGACTGAGATGTATCATTCTACTGATATCAGAACCCCTAATAGGGAAGTGAAATAATTGCCTTACAATGGGTCTAGCTGCAAGACCTCCATTGCCAGATGCTGAGCCTCCATTCCTAAGTCTTCAAGAAACGACCCTTCTGACTATGACTGCCCCTGTTCTTTTGTCTCACTGGCAACACACATGTGGGCAATCATAAATTCTATGAAAAACAGTTGCTGGATTGTTTATTTATTTGTCTGTTTATTTATTTTTATCAGAGCAGGTATTTGACCTGATGGAATGATTTATTCTGTAGTATTTCCCATCTCCCGTTGGCTGTATCTTCTCCCTCCCCACTCTTTCCACTCTCAAATATAAAAAAGTGGTTTTATATACATATACATAAAACTGTTTAGCTGCATGTTTTTTAAATATGATACCTCACTCCTGCCAGCTAACTGTTCTAAGAACTAGAAAACTAGGACTATTTTCTATTCAAATAGCATAAGTAATGTTCTCACATAAATCACTTCTCAGAAGAGTGGGACTAGAGCAGGCTGCATCTCCTAGAAAATGACTTCTTGCCTAGAAGCAAAATTACTGAAGCTTATCCTCGTACCAGAACCTGCTGATTGTCTTTTTTTTGTGTGTATGTAAAGTGTCTCCACAAGCCAGAGAAATTACCAAATGTGTGAAAAGATGTCTTTCATCTGGAACAGAAGAAGGCCTGCGGGATGAATCTGCAGCTGCCTTACCCAAACTAAAAGTTACCGCTTCTTTCACACCAGCTGCCGGCTCTGCACAGAACACTGTATTTCTCATCACATTTAAATGCAGACTCCCATAGAGGGGCACAGCGCTTCACTTGGCATGTTCACATAGGAAGGAAAGCTACTTAAAAGTATGCAAATCTAGGTTTTTTACACTGAGTATTTCAGTGTTCCCTCTCACAACTTTTCCAAGTTGATAAGGATACATTTTTCTTCTTAACAATGTTTGGTATAGCCCAAAGATGGCTTGGAAATGTTTCAGATGCTATGTAGCTGCTGAGATGAGGCATGGGTTTATCTGTATTTTTAAAACACTGTGCAAGACCGTGGGGGCTCTGCCAGTTTCAGTGCATCAGCAGCCATGGGGGTATTAGTGGTTCCCTTTGTAAACCTGAATTTGGAAAATGCCATCCCTCTCCTTGTTGCTCTCCTCAACTTGCTAGCCAGCAAACCCTCAGCCCCTGGGCGGCTGCCAGCCCCACCAGCCAGCGGGCCCGGGGCCTGTGGGTGCCCGGCTGGTGGCTGGGGAGAGCAGCGGGGCGTCTGGGGGGCTGCAAGGGACACCATGCCCCAGACCCAGAGCAGCAGCAAGGGGGAAAAGCAAGGGCAGAATTGGGGCTCGGTGGGCTTTGGGGTGGGAGACGAGGCCCGGGCAGGGCAGGTAGCGGGGGCTTGGCGGGCACACCCAGCCAGCCCCGGTGGGGCCGCTGGAGAGAGGGGTGTGTGTGTGTGTGTGTGTGTGTGCAAGATTTTTGGCCACTTTGCAAAAGCTTCAGTCCTGCTGAGCACCTGCAAGCAGCCGGTGGGTCGGGAGGAGGTGGCCAAGGGAGGCCTGGCAGCGCTTGGTGCCACCACGGTCACGCTCTCGCCACCTCCTCCCGTGCCAAAATCAGTGACGAAGGGATTTACTGGGGGAGGGAGGGGGAGCGAGGGACCCGCCGGCCTTGCCCTGTGCGGGGGAGGAGCGGGAGGAGGAGCGCGGGCACCTGTGGCTGCCGCCCCCACGCACACACACACGCACACGCGCGGCCCCGGGGGCGGCTGCGTGCGGGCGCCGCCTTCCCGTTCTCCCCCGCCCCCGCCCCCCCAAACTCCCGTCCCCCTTCCCCACGTCGGTTCCCGGCGCTGATCCCCGGCGGTGCCCGGTGGTGCCCGGTGGCCTGTCGCGCCCACCCCGCTGCGCTCCTGGGCAGCGGCCCCGGGGGAGGCCGGCATGGCGGAGAGCCCGGGGCAGCCTGGCGCCCCGCCGCCGGAGGGGAGCGACGTCCCGCGGGAGGGAAGCGTTGAGGAAGCGGCGGAGGATCCGGAGCCCGCGGTGTCCCCCGAGGGGGCGGCGGAATCCCCGGGCGGGTCCCCCGCCGGCGAGGCGCCGCGGTTGAGCGGGGAGGCGGCGGCGGTGTCCCCCGTGGGCAGCGGCGGGACGGGGAGCTGCACCCCCGAGGGGGCGGTGGAGACCCCGGCCGGGCCGGACGAGGGCCTGCAGGCTCCGGCGGGGGCTGAGCAGCGAGAGCCCGACGGCGGCGGCCCGGGGGGCGAGGGACTGCCAGGAGGAGAGCTGATGGTGGCGGCAGCGGGGGTAGACGAGCCCGAGGGCTCCGCGCTGGAGAGGGCAGACCCCGAGGACGTGGCGGTGACCCCGGCGGGGACAGAGCCCGAGGACGCTGCCATAGCCCCGGCGGGAACAGAGCTCGAAGAGGCAGAGGCGGTCCCGGCGGGGCCAGACCCCGGGGAGGCGGTGAGAGACGAAGCCCTGGCGGGGACAGACCCCGAGGAGGCGACGGTGACACCCTCGGCAGAAACAGACCCCGAAAAGGCGGCGGGGACTGACCTCGAGGAGGCGGTGAGGGAGGAAGCCCCCTCGGGGACAGACCTCGAAGAGGAAGTGGGGACAGACCCCGAGGAGGCTGCGGCGACAGCCTCGGTGGGGACAGACCCCGAAGAGGCTGCGGCAACAGCCCCATCGGGGACAGCCCCATCGGAGGCAGTGAGGGAGGAAGCCCCCTCGGAGACAGACCACGAGGAGGCTGTGGCGACAGCCCCGGTGGGGACAGACGCTGAGGAGGCAGTGAGGGAGGAAGCCCCGTCAGGGACAGACCCCGAGGAGGGTGCGGCGACAGCCCCATCGGGGACAGACCCTGAGGAGGCGATGGGGACAGTCCCCGAGGAGGCGGTGAGGGAGGAAGCCCCGTTGGGGACAGAGCCCGAGGAGGCTGCTGTGACAGTCCCCAAGGAGGTGGTGAAGGAGGAAGCCCCGTCGGGGACAGACCCTGAGGAGGCTGCGGTGACAGCCCCGGTGGAGACAGACCCTGAAGAGACAGTGGGGACAGACCCTGAGGAGGCGGTGAGAGAAGAAGCCCCGGCGGGGACAGACCCCGAGGAGGCTGCGGCGACAGCCCCGGCGGGGCCAGACCCTGAGGAGGCGATGGGAAGAGTCCCCGAGGAGGTGGTGAGGGAGGAAGCCCCGTTGGGGACAGAGCCCGAGGAGACAGTGGGGACGGACCCTGAGGAGGCGGTGAGGGAAGAAGCCCCAGCGGGGACAGACCCCGAGGAGGCTGCAGTGACAATCCCCGAGGAGGCTGCAGTGACAATCCCTGAGGAGGCTGCAGTGACAGTCCCTGAGAAGGTGGTGAAGGAGGAAGCCCCGTTGGGGACAGACCCCGAAGAGGCTGCGGCGACAGCCCCGGTGGGGACAGGCCCCGAAGAGGCGGTGGGGGAGGAAGCCTCGTCGGGGACAGACCCTGAGGAGGGTGCGAGGGAGAAAGATACCCCGTCGAGGATAGGCCCCGAGGAGGCTGCGGTGACAGCCCCGGTGGGGACAGACTCCGAGGAGGCGGTGAGGGAGGAAGCCCCGGCGGGAACAGACCTCAAAGAGGCGGAGGTGACAGCCCCGTCGGGAGCAGACCCCGAAGAGGCCCTAAGGCAAGCGATCCCGGAGGGGACAGAGCCCGAGGAGGCTGCGGCGACAGCCCCGGCGGGGACAGTCCCCGAGGATGCGGTGCCGGAGGCAGCCCCGGCGGGAACAGTTCCCGAGGATGCGGTGCCGGAGGCAGCCCCGGCGGGAACAGTTCCCGAGGAGGCGGCGGCCCCGGCGGGAAGCGAGGTGGCTCCCGAGAGCCGCGGGGAAGCGGAGACGGGACCGCCGGCCGGAGGGGAGCCCGATGCCGGTCGCCGGTCGCCGGGGGCGGAGCCGGGAGCCGCCGCCCCGGCGGTGGCGGGAGCGGCGAGCGCGGAAGGCGGCGCGGAGGCGGCGGGGCAGCGCGGCGGGGCCCCGGGGCCCGGGGGCGGCGAGGGCGAGGCGGCGGGTCGGAGCCTGAACGGCGTGCGGGGCCGGGCGGACGACGAGGAGGGCGAGGCGGGGTCGCCGGCCGCCCCGGAGGAAGAAGAGGAGGAGGAGGAGAAGCAGGAACACGACATCTCCCTCTTCGTCAAGGTAAGGCGTGAGGGGCTGCCGGGGAAACCTGGGTTTGCGACCCTCCCCTCCTCCAGGATCCCCGGGCTGTGATGAGTAGCGCCATTTAAATCTGGCGGGCAAAAGTCCAGCCTGGCAAAGGTGATTTGGTTATTAAAGCCCCCAAATAAAATGAAAAATCATTTAAAAAGTGGCACTGGAATTTTCCAGCATGAACTATGATTGACATTTAGATAATTGCCCCAAAGTTTGGCAAGGCGGGATTCAGTCAGTAAACTGCCCAGCAGTGTAGCATCCCTTGTAATTGTACAGTTTGTTTGGGGAGGGAAGATTTAGGTTAGAGTGAAATGGACAAAAAAGAGGAAAATTTTAGTGCTCTTAAAAATAGTTTATGGTATTTTATAGTATAGAGCTTTAGAGCCGTTTTCTAGTCTGTGCCTGGAATCCCATCAAAATCAGTGGGACTTGGCACGGAAACAGCATCCGTCCACAGAGACAAACCACAAGATGTGGAATTTATGTGCGTAGAAACCATAATAAGGTGCTTCTCTTCCATTTTCTCTGACCTCTCTGGACTAGATAAAGTGTGGAACAGGGTGGGATATTTTTCCCAGAGTGGACCTAAAACTAGGGAAGCAGAAGGCATTTGGGACCTTCTTCACTACAAGCCATACCTCCCATGCAGATACTGTACCTCATGAGTTGTCTGAGGCTGCTTCTGTAGCAGCTGGAATTAACTGTGAAAGAAAAACTAATTTTCAGCCCTCTGGGTGAGGGGGGGTTAGGATTGCATCAATGTTTATGCCTTGATTTATCCCAACTCAGTGCATACTCCTTTTTTTTTTTTTTTTTTTTTTTTTTTTTCCCAAGTTTGAGCCTCCTTTGAAGTATTGTTACTTGAAAAAGGCTGAGGAATGCTCTGAGGCTGACACGTAGTAGTGTCGGATGTGCTGGATGATGCCAAACTGGAAAGGTGAATGATCATAATGGCTGATATTGGTGAATATCAGCCACTCCTCAGTTTAAGCAATTCCTTTGCACGCAGGCTGGGATGGATTCTGTGGCCTAAAGGCAACTCTGTACATCAGGTTGGTGGAGAGTAGCTGGATGATAACACTGGAGCTGAAATCTGGTTTTGTGTCAAACAGCAGGAGCTATCACTGTTGAGTCTGGCAGAAGTGATTTATGGACTTTCTGGCTCACAGATTGACAGCTCCCTTTGCAGGGGCACTTTTGTAACTTTTTTTTTTTTTTTTTTTTTGTTCTTGTTTAATGCTCTTATATCCATCAGGGAATGCTGGAGAATGGCAGAGGCTAAAGTCATAATGGCTACGTGTGCATTACTGCACTTGGGTGCACACTTTATGGAAGAACGATGTGGCCAAAATTAGAGAGCAGCCTATAATAAGAGCATCTACTGTGACTCTGTAGTCCCCAAATATTAGGATTCAGCGTGTTTTTTGAAAATATTTGTGAATTAATAAAGACAGAAGGAACGTTTTTGTGATTGACATAACATTAGTAACCTAAGAATGTCTAGAAAATAAAACAGCTGCTTTTCTAATGATTTCAGTGGAGAAGTATTACAGAGCTTGAATATTTTACCTCACCTGGAGCTAGATTTTTTTTAGTTGAGATTGGTTTAGTTGCTATTGGTTTAGGTTTTTTTGTTAGAGATTGGCATGAGTTTCTCCAGTTTAATGGAAGAAAAAAAATGCCTACTGGAGAGTCCAGCATCTCCCTGCCCACCAAAAGGTGCCGGGACTGTTGTGCCAGGAAATGACAAGCACTTCTCTTTCCTGCTGCCAGGAGAGTTCATGTTCGTGTTGCTCTTGCTGTGGCCTCAAGACACACTTGCTATCTGTCTACCCTTCTCTTGGCAACAGGAAAGGGGGGTATAAAAAGAGGGAGACTGGAACTTCTCTGGTGGCTTAAATTAGGTCTCAAGTGCACATGCATAATGCTGTGCTTAAATACCTGATGATGTATTCTGATAGGGAAAAGGAGGAGAGTTGATTCCAATGTGGGATAGCACAAACTCTGGTATTTGGGGATTATTGAATGTTTCTATCTGACCACAGCATGTGGTCCGCAGACATGGTGATCCTTCCTGAGCAATTGATAGAACTCAAGCGTTAAGGAAGTGAGAAGATGATCCAAACTGAATGGAAATGTTTGTTTCCAGTCTGAAACACTTCCCTACACATGCATGGTTTTAAGGCATGTCACCACCCCTCTTACGCTCTGTTATATCACTGCTCTATGCCTGCCTATTAGCTCTTACGTGCTTTTGAGATGTTGACACCCACCTCTACTTTGCAAGTGCCACTGACCTCTTTCACCCTTCTGCTGCATTTCTCAGCAACCACCTTGTGTGCTTCCTCCCACGCAGCTGGGGCTTCCTTATAAATATCTTATCCATCAGCTCCCTGATCTTCTTCAAACCTCTATTTGGTACTCTACCCTTCTATAATGCTACTAGAAACTGGGAAGTTATTAGGCTGTTTAAAATACTGAGATTATTGTCTGTCCTGTTCCTAATTTCTTTGTTGTGCCTGTTTGCTTCACCTACCTGTTGATTTTTGGCTTATTCATGAGTGGTCAAGGCCAGGATTGTCAGCCTGTTGTCTGTGACTGCGTGCACAATGCTAGAGAAAGGAGGTTCGTGCCATGATTTGATAGCACTGTACAAATACAGAGAAATGTTAAAAGTAGGTCACATAATAGGAAAAAAAAACAGGAGAAGATAATACAATAGTAGTGATTGAATGATTTTCTCAGTTTCCCTGATAGGGAGCATTACACTAGGCTTGGCTGACATTAAAGCACCTAGTAGTCTTTCAGTAATAATGTTTTAAAAATAAGAAACAGAAGCATCACTATCACAAAAAAACTTTTCAGGTGTAACTGTATGATGAGCAGCATTTCTTGTTTTTACTGTTGTCGATTAAGCTTGTTTTTTCTAGAAAGTTTGGTTTGGGTTGGTTTGGTTGCTTTTTGGTTTTGGTTTTGTGATTGTTTTTTTTTTTCCTTCTGCTTCCTGCTGTTTTGCATTGGTTCATTTAATTTTGCATATATGTATCTGAATAGTGTGAATATGATGTCACCTCATGCCTCCCACAGTGGGGTGTGTGGTAAAATTCCTTCTAGCTCCACAAACATGGGTACCAGCAATGGTGCTTTTAAGCTGATTTGAGTTGCTATTTAGTTTGAACTCAGACATGCAGGGTTCAGCTTTGAGATCTCATGCTACCTGAGATACTGTGGCACTTAGCAGGGTTAACAGCATCCATGGGAGATAATGTCCTTCTGGACCAGCAGCTCAGTGCCAGACAGGCTAGGGTAGGGCATCTCTGAAGACAGCAGACGTCTGCATCTGGGCAACGGAACTGTGCCCTTGATGAAGCTGAACCACATAAGAGTCCTTGGCTATAAGCACAAGATCATATCAAAGTTGCTTTGAGGCGCTTACTTGATTTCAGTTTTCCCATGAAACAATGTGTACTATATATTTCCTTTAGATAGTAATACTTGATGTTTCTGTTTTTTCAAAGTCAGATGTTTGCAAAGGTTATCCAGATATACTTTCTGGTTGGTCTTGGGTAATTCAGCTAAGCCTATCTGGCACCTTGGGTAGGACACGTTCTGGATGTTGAAGCTTGATAGCTGGTCTTATAAGGTCAATGGTATATGTATGCTTTTTTTTTTTTTTTTTTTCCCCCCTTCTGTGGCAAAAGCCCTTTATTTGTCAGCAAACTTCTGTAAATGTCATAAATTTATCTTACCATTTCAATACAGTGGAACTCTCACTGAAATTATTCAGTTAATTTTAAGTAATTTAAACATTTATGTAGGACTTAAGAGTTTATTTCTAAATTAAAACAGAATAAAACCAAACCTCCAAAGTTACCTACCAATGAATTTTAAATTTTCTCACAGATAGAAAATTTGAACACCAGAATCACAGCTGCAGATTTCATCATTCCAAAGACTTCTAGGGATAGTGATTTATCTGTAAGTGCTGGACACAAGGAGTTGGCTAAACAGCCCAGTTTGAGCACAAGGCCTTCTCTGAGATTGCTCATCTTCACAAACATTTCTTGCTTAGTTTTTGGGTTAAATGGTATATAGTAAAAGCTGACCATGAGCCTAAGGTAGTAGATTTTATCCAATGAAAAGTAATAGTCTTTATTCAGTTTTGTGACATTCTTGGTCTCTAAACCAAAGCAATTTATTTTCATTCAGAGAGTTGTTTCATTTCTACCAGGGACCAAGGTTACTTTACTGAAACAGAATTGCCTTGCACCGTTCTCGAGATGTATGTGACTGACTTGACATACTTAGAGCTGTGCTGAATTATCAAAAGTGCTAATAAACAAGAAAGTAAAAGCCTTGCTGTGAGTAGAGACATAGGAATAATGAATGCTTGCATCTGTGCCTCCAAACATCACAGACTAACATACCCAACTTAAATGGTAGTGCATGTTTCATACTAGAGCACAAAAAAGAATCTCTTCTGTGATATGATGGATCTGTGATTTATATATAACTTACATTTGAAGTATAAATAGAACTTCTGGGCTTTGAGTGCTGTAGGTAACAAGTACGTGGGCAGCAGGAGCTCAGATCCCTGGAAAAAACTCCTGGCCTGTGTGCCCATTCAGTGGACTCTGTGCTGTACCTGATGCTTGATGTAAAGATTTACAGTATAATCACATATTTATGCTTAAGATCTTGTTTTTTGCTTATCGGTGCGATCAGTCTGCGGGGGTTGGAACTAGGTCATCTTTAAGGTCCCCTCCAACCCAAATCATTCTATGATTAACCATAGGAACCAGTTTTTAGATGACCTCTGGAGAGTGAAAAGTAAAGATTTGTATGTGTGGAGTTACACTAGCTTGGTATTTGTGGATTAAAAGAGGTTTGCGGGGAAGTTAAGTTATTGGATATTTATCCAAGGAAGGAGGACTACCCAGAGCTTGCCAAAGGTAAGCACAGTGGATTTGTGTGATGCTAAAGAA